ATGTAATTATATTACAATTTGGAGTTAAATCAAAATGCTGTGTTTACATGATTTTGCCTATGCAAATATTATCCACAGCTGAGCATTATAGCATATTTTGATTGTTCCTTTTTTTACTTTTTGTTTTTCCTGAAGTAAATAATTGCCTTTAATTTTTAAAATTGCTTAGTTTTCTTTGTACTTCTGGATGATTTTTTCCCCTTCCATTTGTCTCTCCATGTAATTTTTCAAAAGGTGAGTTTTATCGGGTTTCTTTTTTTTTAGTTCCACTTTCTTTTTTTCCTGAAGCCATCCCTTCTAGAGATCTTAATTTTCCATCTTTGGCCTTCCCCCAACCCCAGATCCGCTACTTAGCTGCCTCCCTGAAATTCATTTAGCTGCTGTCATGGGCATTTACGTGGCCGTTCTCTTAGTTTGTTCTTTCTTGGTCTACTCCCGTGTTTTGAGGTTGCATATCGCTAGTAGTTTACTGAGAAAGAGTACATGAATGGTAAATTTTTTGAGACTTTTCATGTCTGAAAATATCTTTATTCAACCCTCACATTTGATTTGTAGTTTGCCGGGAAATATAATTTTAAAGACATTGTCCCATTTTCTTTTTTTTGGAAATTGAGATAATTCACATACCACAAATTTCATTCTTTTGAAGTTTACCTTTTAGTGGTTTTTAGTATATTCACCAGGTTGTGTGGTCATCCCCACTATGTAATTTTAGAACATTTTCATCACACTTTAGAAAATCGTACTAGTACCCATCGCCCCTCCCCACCCCAACCCTTGGCAACCACTTTCAGTCTCTATAGATTTGCCTGTTCTGGGCACTCAATAAATGGAATCATACAGTAGGTGGCCTTTTGTATGTGGCTTCTTTCACTTAGCATGATGTTTCAGAGTTCATCTATGTCCTGGCATGTACCAGTACTTCCTTTTTCTATAACCGAGTAATATTCTACCATATGGATATACCATATTTTGTTTATCTGTTTATCAGTTGATGGACACATGGGTTGCTTCTGTTTTTGTCTGTTATAAAAATAATGCTGCTATGAATATTTGTTTACAAGTTTTTATGTACAAGTTTTGTGTCTTGACATATAACTAGGAATGGAACTGCTAGATAATATGGAAACTGTTCTTGAGGAAATGGCTCCATTGTCAGAAGCAGCTTAGAAACTTCCAAGATTGTTGGAAAGAAGTCTGAAGTCTTTCTGATTCTGCACATGTGACATTTTTTGTTTTATTTTGTTTTTCTACAGAAGCTATAGAATCACTCCTTTATCCCTAAGATTATGAAACTTCATGTCGTGTCTTGATGTGGGTCTATTTTCATCCATTGATCTGAGCATTCACTGGGCTTTTTAAGCTGTGAAACTCAGATCTTTCAGTCCTTGATGATTTCCTCCATGGCCTCAAGTTTGCTACTTATGGCTATGCAACAAAGGTGCCCTGCTGAGGGGGTGGTGAGGGCTGAAATCTAACCAGGATTCCATTCACTAAACTGTGTCTCAGCTTAAGGCTACATCTGCTTGGAAGAAAGGCATCTCTTTCTTCACACACCTTTTTCTGCTCAGCAAGCTGTGTGCTCACAAAGTGCATTCATCCATGGTAGGTGTCTTTTTCTCATTACACAAAGATGACCTACAGGTTAGTGGTGGCCCTGGCCTCCCTTTTCTGTGTTCCCCCTTTGGGATGTCTCCTGTTATTCAGACATTGGATCTCCAGGATTTAGCCTCCAAAATCCCTATATTTTCTCTCCTATTTTCTACCTTTTTATCTTTTTGTTTCACTTTCTGAGACATTCTCACAATGTCTTAATCCTGTTGAATTTCTGTTTCTGCACATTTTGATGGTGAGAGCTTTTGTTGCTGTTGTTCTCTAAATATTTGCCTTCTACAACATCTCTTCATATTTCACGAATGCAATGTCTTAACTCTCTGAGGGTATTAATGATAATTATTTTTTGAAGTTTTCTTCTCCCTGTTGTTTCTTCTCTTTCTTTCTGTTTTAGTGTTTTGGTCTCTGTATCTCATCTTCTCTACATCACACCACTGGGCCACTATTTGCTGATCTTGAGTTAGTTGTTAGTTGAAAGGAGCAGTTACACCTTTATTTTTGGACTTGAAGCTAAAGAACTTCATTCTTTTTTTGCTTCGCACATCTTTCTAATTGTCTATAATTCCCAAAGGATTTCACTTAACCCAGTGTTAAAGCAGAGCTCCATAAATGGAATTTTAATTAGAAATATTCTACAATACCCCAATGTTTTCAGCAGAATGAATTCTCTATGTAATTAAGAGTTTGATTAAACTAGAACCTACAAAAAGCACCATAAAATGTTTCTGAATTAACAGGTTTGTAAACAGATTCAAAGGTTGACCCAGAAATTTTTAAACTCAGATGTCTTCAGATAATATAGTATGAAATTTACCAAGGAAAAGCAAAAAAGCATAATTGCTTATGGTTAGAAAAGAAATAAAAGCACCTACTTGAAAGAATTACTAAATCTGTGCAAACTGGTGGTGTCTGCTAAACTGCTAAAAATCTGGCATCTCTCCACCACAAGAGGGCAGTAGTGCTCAACCGTTGCTAATGGGAACTCAACAAGAGCGATGGAGGCTTCCTTAGACGAATCTTTGGAGCCAGTTGTTAAGGCATCAACCTCTCACTGGAAAGGGCAGGGGAACAGGAACCGCCAACCAGACAGATTCGGAGCTGCTGTCCCCAGCAACAATAAGGCAGGAAATAAGCAACAGGGGATTGTGAAACGGAGCGACCTTGCTCCCCATCCCCATGTCTTTGAATCACCATGGAGATGGCTAGCTTAATAATGGCTGCAGATAGGGGTCTGTTCATTTGGATATCAGATAAGGACACTGCCAGGTATCAGTGCAACAGAATTCTTAATGGGGATTTGGGAAGGACAGAATAAAAGCTGTGGGGAGCAGCAGAGCTGTTATATCTCAGAAAATTAGGACTAGTTTTAAGAGTGTTCTAGGGTGAACTTTTATTTAATTTAAATTCACAACATTGGAACATTATGATAATCAGAGTAATCTTTGCAGCCTATATCATTATCTTTTAAAGCTTCCAGGAAGCTAATTAATACAAAAAGGGATCAATTATAACAAACGCACCTCAACATTTTAAGTATGACGTTAATTGTTCTAGAATGACTCACAATATGAGCCCTGTATCAGGCATTTTTAATGTGCTCTCATGACCAGCATCTGTTTTTATTTTTATTCATAATTGTCACTACTGTTACTGAGCTATAATCTGAAAAGATTTTTAGTATTTGAAAAACCTAATTATTCCATAATTTAATTTTGTTTCAATCAACATTTATTGAACACTCACAACTGAGAGGAAAGACAGTGCCTCTGTGTGTGTGTTAAAAGAGAATTTTAGAATATTGTACCCATGTGTTTAAAAGTCAGCTTCAAATAAAAATTGAGACTTGAGTATGTTTTCTATATTTTATGTGCCTTTCTTATCCCACATTGTACCATTTGTGGTAGTGATACCTTCAAATCATAGAAAGGCCAAACCTAATTCAGGAAACCTTGTTCCTTCATGTTGACTGAAGATAGGAAATAAAATATGTTCTGTTTTGTCTTTCTAATAGATATCCATGAGTGACGTACTTGTCATTGTTGTTAATGAGCCATTGGATAGAGGGCAATATTTAAAAGCTTCTTATTCGATTACAAGTATGATTTAATGGTTTATTTAACTCAAATTAGCAAACATTCATTGAGTTAGGAACTGTGTTAGACACAGGAAGTAACAAAAATGAGTAAAACATAGACCTGAGGGTAGGAGGCACCTGAAAGAAGGAAGGTAATTAATATTTTTTTGAGCAACTAACCTGTGACAGATTTTTGCATATCTTTTCTCATTAATCCTGATAACAATTTTGAGGTATTGGCCCTGTTTTGTGGAAGAAGAAACACACTCAGCTATTAAGTACTTTCTCAAGCTCACAAAACTAGAGCTAAGATTAAAACCCAGATCTGTTCAACTCTAAGGTAGATTCTCTTTCCATTGGACCATTCTATCTGAATATTAGTCATTGACTCCTCGGAGAAAGTAACTTTTATGAATGGCAGTTAAATAGTTTGAAGTTTAAGAAAAGAAACAATGGTGTGCAGTGATCTGATGTTTAGAAAGTAATTTTTAATTGGGAAGTATTTCAAACACAAGTTAGAGGATAACACCTGTGTGGTCATTACAGAGCCATAGTCTATATCCAGCTTCAACATTACGTGTGTTTGAGTCAGACCTTTTTTTTCAATTAATTTTTTAAAAATTTTAGGGGGAGGTAATTAGGTTTACTCATTTTATTTTTAGAGAAGGTGCTGAGGATTGGACCTAGGACCTTGCGTATGCTAAGCATATGCTTTACTACTTGAGCTATATTGTCCCCCCTCGAGTCAGACCTTTTTAGAGAAAGAAAACATTACAGGACCAGTTGAGACTTCTATACCCCTCCCTGGTTCCACTGTCGTTGCTTTCTCCCTAGAGCCAATACTGTTATGAATTTAGTGTTTATTGGTTTCATGCATGATTTCTTACTTTCACTACATGCTTATGGAATCCATAAATAATATAATTTTTTCTTTAAAAAACAAGTAATCTTTAATTGTTCCAACTACCTGGTCTTTGTTGTAATAATATAATATTATTTTGCAAGTTTTTAATTGTTTTTAATTGTATTCAAAAGAACATATTATTCTACAACTTACTTTTTGTGCTCAACGATGTTTTTGAGATTTATCCACAATGGTAGATGTAGCCCTAGTTCTTATTGTTAAAAGCTGTGTAGTATTCCATCATATGAACATACCATTTTATCCATTTTCCTGAAATTGCATATTTAAACAAGATTCTGCTATTGTTTACCTAAAATATGTCTAACGAACTTTCATCATGATACTGGAACTTGTATTTTAGTAATGAAAGTACAAAACTATTCACACTAACTTTTTTTCTTGGTGCAGATCACTCTCGAATCGAAGTATGGAAATTTGGTAATACTGCCATCGAATACCTATACCAGTGGGCACACGTCTGTTTAGCTCTCGTGAAGCTAAACAAAAAAATAAATAGTGCTATTACACCCCCATTGCCATCCAAGACTGACTCCTATGTGTATGCAAAAATGCCAGGGGAAAGTTTGCAAGGGAAATGCTAATGAAGTTGCTACTGTATTTAAGTTATTCTTGTCATGTTCAGTTTTGTTTGTTAATTGTAAAATAAAACATTTTCAATTGGAAAGGAGTGCCACATAGACATATTCTGATTCTAGACACTTACCTCAGCACTTTCTAAAGCCAAAAGTGCTACCAAAGGAGAAATTTTATCTGAAAAATATCCAGTTAAGGTAGCCAAAACCAAATGTATGTTATAGGATATATTTTCAAATTTCCTTTTTTTTAGTTTTAGCTTTTTATCTGTCATGGAACCATTATGGTTGGTCAAGTAGAGTTATTTTAATTCTTTTAAGGTACAAAGTGAAGAAAAAACTGAGGATTTAGAGAGAAAAGGGGGCAGTTTTTACATCAAAAGAGTACCAACCAATAAAGACTTTAAGAAATGAACTGGGAATTGTTTTTCTAATTTTTCAAAGACATATGAGCACTACCTACTCCTCCTCCTCATCTCCACTCCCACCCCCAACTTACCTTAACAACTTAAAAGTTATTTCAATGAATACAAATTACTGTGGGAAAATGTTTGTCCATGACTCATGGAAAAAAGAAAACACCTTTTTTTTTTAATAACAAAATCCTCTTGAGTTCAAGAACTGCAAAAGAATTTATATTTATTTAATGCTTGTTATTACAGCAAACTTTACTGTTCTGTTGTGAGATTTCATCTTTGCAATAAGATATCTGATGACAGAGTCCATTTTTAATAAAATTTTGGGAAATTAAACTTCATTTTCTTTATTTGGTTGACAAAATGTGATGTGTTCCAAACATCTTATAATTTGAGATTGGACGTCCCTTTTTAACCTTTTCTGATAAGATGGCAGTGTTATTACCAGTCCTCATCTCTTGGATGATTGCATGCCCAGTTTTAACCTATAAGCCTGTTTCATATTTGGAAGTGGGCTTTTCAGGGCATTTGCTGCAACATTTCTAGGAACAATGTTCTTGAAGATATTAAACTGATAGCCACATATCCTGATGGCTTCAGAACAAGCTTTTATAAGGAGTCCACTGTGAATACAAATGGCATTTTAGGCAGCAAGGAAGGGAAATGTTTGCAGAATGCTAGCTTTTTAAACATTATCATGGGAATTAAGTTATTAACTAAATGGCATCTAGCTTGGATAGCAAAGGTTATATATTTGCATGACTTTTTAACTTGTTTGAAGTATTTTCCCATACTAGCTCATTTGATCCTCCCTGTGACCTGTACACTCGGGCAGCCTCGATATTTTATCCCCATTTTATGTATGAGGAAATAGGCTCAAAGAGTGAGTTACCTGGGTCACAACAACTAGAAAGAGGTACCCATGAGGTACCAAGAGGTGTCTGGATTTCTGATTTACTGCCCTTGCCAGCACCCTGGACATCTCATCAACACTTTCCAAACTTTACTAGGCTAACAACCATGCTATCAGCCTTTTGGAAATGACTTTAAAATTAAGCAACCATCAAGGCAAGAGTAGTTGAATTTATTTATCATTCAAGTAAAATCCTATCCCTTAACACCAGGAGCTTCCTTTTTTGGTAAAGAGGATGTCATACACACTTGACAAAAATTTAGATGTAGGTTTATATTTAAATCTATTTATTTGACTCAATAGATTTACTGATTTGCTTACATTTACATATACTTCAGAAGCTTAGACTTGATCAAGTGGATTTTTTATTGGCTCTTTCTCCACAGCTTATAGGTAACAATGACACTGCATGCTCTAGACCATCCAGACCACTTTCCTTTATAATTATGGCTTTCCATGGTCCAGGAACAACATAAGGTTTCAAGACAACACTACTGGAATCACAGAAAATCTCCTGTTGGCTCCTTTAACAGCTTTATCAAAATGTAACTCACATACTAAACAATTCACATACTTAATGTGTACAATTCAATGGTTTTTAGTATATTCATAATTGTGCAAACTTTTCAATCAATTTCAGAACATTTTCATCACCCTCATGAGAACCACCATACCCATTAAGCAGCCACTCTCTGTTTCCCCCTATCCCAGACCTAGACAACTACAAATCTTGTTTTCTCTTTGAATTTGCCTGTTTCTGATATTTTATATAAAAGGAATCATAACTACGTGGTCTCTTGTGACTGACTTCTCATTCCCTCCTAATCTAGATGTGATCAAGCAACCAGCTGCCCTTAACTTCCACAGACTTCCCCAATCCACTGACTCAGACCTTTTGCAGGTAATTTAGGGAATTTTCATTTCTCTTACATAAGGTTTTACGCAATGTCACTCCCACCTACCCCAACCCTAAATCATTATTAACTTTGTGTTCTTACGCTCCCCTACATGATCTTATTATAAAGACCTCTCAACAGACAAGATCAATTAATTAAATAGTGCCTATTTCTTTGTCCTTAGGCATTGTAATTACCCTTGGTGGGTATTCTGTCTCCTAGTCATTAACATATTTCATCTCTCCTCAATATACTGCCTGAGCTCAAACTATCCTGCCTACTGATGGCCATGTTTTGTTCCATGTAACCCTGACTCTCTAGCCACAGCTGTTTAAATTGGGGTCATCTGCTTGCCAAAGGGAGACTAATTTGTGAAATGGCCTAATAGGAAAATTACCAAAAACATGGACAAATCAAACTGGGAAATAGCAATAGAGCGGCGTCTAGAAGTGTTTGGAGAGGCCAAAAGTGTCATGACATGCCTTAAAACAAGTTGAAGCCTACTGCCTTCCAGACACTACAAGTTAGCAAAACCTGTAGGTAGAGAAAAGGTGTAGAGAGTGAGTACAGCTGACCCTTGAACAACACAGGAGTTAGGGGTGCCCATCCTGTGTGCAGTCAAAAATCCACGTATAACTTTACAGGCAGCCTTTTGTATCCCCGGTTCTGCATCTGAGGATTCAACCAGTCACAGGTCATGTAGTACTCTAATATATATTTATTGAAAATCAGGAGTATGGCAGTGATGATGCTATCTTTTCTTGGTTTATTCTGCTTCTGTCCTTATAGCATCTTCAATTAAAGTTCCCAAACCTAGGTTCAAAATGATAGGAGGCTTCTGCATGTTTCTGATTCACTGTTGCAGCTACCACCCTTACTGCAAACGCTGCCAAGTGATTGAAGAACTCGAACTCTGCAATACTCCATCTGAGTAATCAGCCTTCTAGCTTTGGGAAAATCTCATAATAGCTTCATTACAATATCCCAAAGACAAAAGGAGAATACAGAATTCAATACACCAATTCAGCTCACATTATATGGAGCTGGATAACTGTATGTAACTAATTCCCTATTCAGTCTCTTTCAGCAAGAGGCAGACAGCCGAAGCAAGGGGCTATATTTTTACCCTTTACTGATTATTTTTATTTTAAGCAAAGTAAGATATGCTCATAGTTCAAAGAGTCATGCTGTCGTACAAGGGCAGTCGAGACCAGTCAAGGCCAGAACATTTCTTAGCTCCACCTCACCCCTATTTTCCTTGCTTCTGTGCCAATTATTTTCAATTCTTTTAGCTCAAGAGTTAATAAAGAGCCCACAAGCTAAATTTGGCCAGTTGCCTGTTATGAGAAAGTTTTATGGGAAAAGTCATGCCCATATTGTCTACGAATGCATTCACACTACGGGGCAGAGCTGAGTAGCTGCCACAGAGATTTATGACCCACAAAGCCTAAATATTATCTGACTCCCTGCATAAAAAGTTGGCCAACCCCTATTTTGGCCGTAGCTTTGAAAAGTACCTCCATATTGCTAAATAACATGCTGTGTGGCTTTTTTTTTCTCCTGAATTAGGCAATATTTGTTAACCCCCCAGTATGCAATACAAAGATTTAGCTCCTTCCTCAGCATGTGCACACACACACATACATTTCCCATCCCTTCATTCTTCCTAATTACGTTGTCAAATAGGTGGATACTCCGTGTCTGCATCATCATGATCATGTATGCTATTTAGGGCTTAGCCATGTAGTAAATTACAATGATTTTCCTTTTCTGAACATCTATTTTCTTTCCCTAGAGTTAAGGTTAAAAGAAAACTTTTGGAGTGGCTGGAGTGACTATAATAATATCAAAGTAGATTTCAGAGCAAAGAATATTACTATGATAAAGGAGGTCATTTCATAATGAAAAAGGGGTCAACTAATTAAGAAGACATAACAATCTTAAATATTCATACACTTAATGACAGAGTTTCAAAATACATGGAGCAAAAACTAATAGAACTGCAAGTCCATAGAGAAGAGAAGTAGATTACTGGTTGCTTAGTGTTGGGAGAGTTTGGGGGAAAAATAGGAGTGACTAATATTAAAAGTATCCTAAAATGGATTGTGGTGATGATAGCACTACTCTCTGAATATACCGAACACCTGTCGAACTGTACACTTTAAATGGGTAAAATGCAACATATGTGAATTATATCTCAGTAAAGCTGTTTAAAAAAAGATGACTATGCTAAACAGAAATCTGAATCTACACAAAGATATGAAGACACCAGAAATGGTAACTATGTGGATAAACATAATATTTTTCTTATTTAAAAAATATTTTTGAAAGGTAATTGGCTGTTTAAAGCAAAATGATAAATCTTCTGTGCGGTTATAACACAGGTAGAAGTAAAACGTGTGACAAATACAGCACAAAGTCTCAGAGACAGAAAACTGAAAGTATACTTTTATATGTTTTTCACACTATACATAAAGTGTGAAAGAAATACCTTCTTATTGAAAGTAAACTGAGATAAGTTAAAGATGGGTACTAGAAACCCTAAAGCAAAATCTTAAAAAAAAAAACAAAAAACAAGCAAAGAAGCACAGCTAATAAGCTGACGAAGTTGAATCATAAAAATCTTAAGCTGAATCATAAAACTTATTGATTAATCTGAAAGAGAGTAAAAACAAAACAAAACAAAACAAAAAGGTGGAGAACAAAGAACTGATGGGGAAAAGATAAAACATTGTCACTATACTAACTGTTTTAATGAAAATGTTTTAAATACCCATGTTAAAAAGAAGAAATGGTCAGATTGGATAAAAAAAGCAAGACCCAACTTTATGCTATCAACAAGAGATCCACTTTGAATATAAAGGCACAAATAGAATAAAATAGGTTAAAAGTAAAAGGATTAGGGATAAGATATGCTAACAATCAAAGCTGGTTATATTAGTATCACATAAAGTAGATAAAAAGAAATAAAAGACTAAAGAGGGTCATTTCTTAATGGTATAGGGGTCGATGTAAGAGGATATAACAATCCTAAATGTTTGTATACCTAGTAACTGAACTTCAAAATACATGAAACAAAACCTGACAGAAGTAAAAGGAGATACAGACAAATCCACAACTAGAGTTGGATTTTAACATTCTTCTGTCCATAATTTAAAAGATCTCTTTGGCTGCTGTAAGGCTAGTCTGGAATGGGCCAGATGAACTGTGACTAGACCAATAAAAATATATATCATACACGATTTTACTTACTATACCCAGTGGTACCATGGTATTGTCATTAATCCTTTCTGTTCTAAAACGAGATACTTAGCATACAGATTTCCGCTTTCTGGCAGATTATCCTAAATCACACTGAATACCTCAGGGGAAAAAAAAAATCGATAGCCTGGGGCAGTAGTTTTCAAACTTGTGTATCAGAATTACCTGGAGGGCTGGTTAAAATTCAGATTGCTGGGCCCCATCCCAGAGTGTCTGATTCAACATGAGTAGAATAGGGCCAGAAATTTGTCATTTCTAACAAATTTCCAGGTGATGCTAATGCTGCTGGTCCTGGGACCACACTCTGGGAACAGCTGTCCTAGAATTTTGTCATTCATTTCTCCCCCACTGATTTCGAGTCGGTTTCCAAACAATGCCGAAGGCGGAAGGATTCAATTCCCATCTATGCGGAAGCACTCACCGGCTAGGCGAGTTCCAGGCTGCGTGAAGCCGCGCGAGAGTTTACGCGACGACGTCTGCGTCTGCGTCACGTCGGCGTCGGCCACGTTCAGCGGAGACGGGAGCAAGATGGCGATTCCGGGCAGGCAGTGAGTGATCCGGGAGTTAGGGTCAGGCTGGGGAGTGAGACACCACGGCGACTGTGTCTTTGGCCGAGGAGTAAAAGTGCGCTGGAAGTGAAGGGGCTGTGTCCTCAGGGATAAACTCGAGGAAAAACGAGAAATCCTGAGGAACATATATTCCCATCCCCCCCACATTTTCCAGGATGGAAGCCCGAAGTTTGAGGGAGAAACTTGTGAGGAAATAAAGGAAGTTAGGCTGAGGGGCAGAGAGCGAGACTTTTCTATTTTCCAAAAGCTCGGTCTGAGGCCCCTCAGTCTTGCTTCCTACCCCGCGCTTGAGTTTCTCCCCGGTTGGATGCTTTCAGGGACAATAAGAAGAGAGACAATTCCTGGCTTTCTTAGAGGGCCTTGTTCTCCTTGGCAGCTCAAGTCTTGATTCCCGCCCTCCCTTCTCGGGTTAGGAATGTGCTGAGAAGCCACAGAAAAGGGTAGGCATATAGGGAACTGGTGGTATAAGTTGCCGCAAAAGAGATAAATGTTGTATGTTCTTGGAAGTTTTACCTTTGTTTTGTAATCCTTATTTTTGATGCGGCTTACCGTGATTTCTGCATCTTTAAGGCCAAAACGTGAGAAACTAAATGTGTTGGATCTGATAGGATGATTCTTTCAGACGCTCCAAGACAAAGCAAGTGAGCTTTATTAGTGTAATGAGAATTTGCCCCGTGGCTACTTGGGTTTCTCAGTTAATGTAATCTTTTAAAAAATTTATTCATGGGTGACACTGTTATTCAGTAAGTTCTTTAAAATTATTTTAAGTACCCAGTAGGGGAAAAAACTATTTTCTTGACTCCTGTTAGACCTCAAGGATAATTCAGAGCATTTTTATTTTTAGGGGACAGCAACTGAGCTTTCCAGGAACATGTTCTTTTTAAAACGGGACTATAATTTCACTACTTAAAACATATCTGAACTCTTCATTTACTTCTCTTTGATTAAAATGGTATTTTGATTTGGGCCCGTGACCACAGATGAACACTTAGAATAATAATTATAAAATCTTAACATGTATTAGAACTTTTAGATTGTTGAAAATCAGAACTAGTGTTATATGTTCATATGACATGTTTGGTTTGACTAGGTAGCTTCATCTGGAAGAGGTGGTGGATGTATTATTTTTTAACACTTAAATATAATGGTGTAATTTCTATTTCAAAAAAAAATACGCAGGTATGGGCTTATTTTGCCAAAGAAAGCACAGCAGTTGCACCCTGTTTTGCAAAAACCTTCAGTGTTTGGGAATGATTCTGATGATGATGATGAGGTAAGGGAACCTATGTTTCTCTACTGCATTGTTGGAAATATAATTTTTTAAATTGAATTTGTGACTACAATGCCTTTGCTTGCTTTAGTTAGTTGTTAATACAGTGTTTTTGTAGCATATTGTAATTTATGGGAATATCAAAAGGAATATTTAAAGAAGAAAACTCCAATGATTTTTTTTTGTAAGTGATAAATGATAATCTAAGAGAGATTTTTTCCCCAATGTCTGTGAACTTCAGGTATTTTTGAGCATACAAAGTAATTTCAGACAACTAATAGTGATACAACAAAATTGTTGGTGTAAAGATCACTGGAAATAAATTAAGATGTCACCTACTTGTTAGAAATTTTTATTAGCAAAGTAATTTCTTATGAGACTACTTTTGTGGTTATGCAGTGTCTGTTAAATGTAATTACTCAGTTGTAATTACGGTAATATATAGTTATCATTGATAGTACTACAATAATGACATCTGATACGAACATTTTATATTTCAGCAGCCAAAACAACGTTTTCCTACGAAGCCCTCAGTTTATAAAAACCCCTAAATGTGTGTTTACTTCATAGTTCAGTAATTTTCTATACTTCTAGAAGACCTTTGTAGCATTTAATCTGGTACTTCCTTTGCTCTGGCAGGAAAATAGCTTCTCTTTCGTTTTTTACTGATTATATGATAGCATAGTTAGGTAACTGAACTTGTATGATGCTTTGCTTTCCTTCTGCTGAAGAAATTGACTCTACGTTGCTTACCTTTTTAAAAGTTGAGTTATAACTTACATATAATAAAATTCGTTGATTTTAAACATATGGGTTGATGATTTCTGACAAAGATATGTGCCCCAGTCAAGATGTAGAACGTTTCCCTCTCCTCCGAAAATTGTTTCACGCTCTTTTGCAGTTTCCGTCCCCACATTCTGCCTCAGACAATTATCTTGTTGTGGTTTTGATTTGTATTTCACTGATGGCCGATGATGTTGGCCAGTTATGTATCATCTTTGGAGAAATGTTCATGTCATTTGCCTATTTTTTAATTGGGTTATTTCTCATTTTGTTATAAGTTGTAAAATTTTTAGTTTGAGATACAAGTCGCTTGTTAGATATAATTTGTAAATATTTTCTCCTATTCTGTGGGTTGTCTTTTCACTTTCTTAATAATGCCCTTTGAAGCACAAAAGTTCAATTTTGAGGAAGTCCAGTTTTTTTTTCTTAGGTTGCTTCTGCTTTGGTATCATACCCAAGAAACCATTGCTTAATCCAAGGTCATGAAGACTTATACATGTTTTCCTCCAAGAATTTTGTAGTTTTAGCTCTTAAATTTAGGTCTGTGATCCCTTTTGAGTTAATTTTTGTATATGATATGAGGTAGAGGGTTCGATTTCATTCTTCGCATGTGGATGGATATCCAGTTGTAGCAACACCATTTGTTGAAGTCTCTTCCCCATTGAACTGACACCCTTGTGGTTTGTTTTAATATACAAATAATTTTTAAAATCACTTACTCAGAACACAAGAGAAAAATATGACATACTTGTCCTGTAGTGTCACATAAGTTATCCCAGCATACCATGTGATACAAATCAACGTATACCCCAATTTGTGAAGGATGGGATTACACAAGTGATCTAGAATGTTTCATGTGATTGCTGTTTCTTTTCCATTGTGAAATAAGGCCAGTGGTAGTGGATACACTAGAGTCAGAAAAGAAAGACCTAGGGTCATTTTGCTCTTCCCACCCTCTCTCCCTCCCTCCTTTCTTTTACATAGAGAAACTTTAATGCAGAGAATTTGTTATATGAGTGATCAAAGACTTGAGAAGCCACAAGAGGATGGTGAAGCAATGCAGAGATTAGCAGTAGTAAAAAGCAAGAATGATACATGGAGGAATACAAATAGAAGCTAGATCCTAGAGACCAGGGGCTAGGATTACCTGGTGGGAACTAGTCTTTTCCGAAAGGTGTTGAAGCCACTGGGGAGATTCAGTTTTCGGTAGAAAGGCAAGGAAAAATACCTTGTCTCTTCCCTTTCTCCTTCCCTTCGGTATACTGCCTTTGTCTTCTATTGGTAGAGCCCAGCCAGAAGCAACTGACAAGAGAGCTGCCATTTAGTTCTTAACCAGCAGAGAATACAAACTGTTCTTTAACGTAATTTCCTTATGTATAAGGAATTAATCTAGTGAATTCCAGCTCACCCTTGTGTATTATTTAAATGTGAGGTTTGAATATAAAAATCTCTTCTTTAAAAATTAATCATTTTAAGCAATAGTAAAACTTTTGGTGTTCTGGAAAACACAGAGATAGATGTTTTATGGTTTCCTTCCTGAGGAGGGCATTTGATATACCTGGAGAGGAGCTTCTGTGATGCAAATCCATCTATTCTTATTTCCAGCAATTCAGCAGAAGCAATTAAGAGCCCAAATTTAAGATCAGACTTTACTTCCAACAGTCCAGCGTGGGGGGGGGGGCTAACAAATGAATTCTATTTTAATATGTGTTTGTATCCGGAGTTAGTTTAAAAATGGGAAAGTGATAGTCCAGCACTTTAAATTATTATCTAAATAGTTCCTCTTTTTAAAATCATCAGAACTAAATAGAAATGATTATCATTTTGTTCAAAAATAGGGGAGATGAAGAGTTTTTATCTCATGTGAGTAAGAGGTTTATATTTTATCCAAATGCTGCTTTCTAATCGTAAGTGTTTGAGTGGTTTTGCTGTGATGGTAATCTGTTTATTTTTTTTTCTAGTCTGTCGTCTCTTTTCCAGTCCCATTGCCACCACTTTCATTACTTCTCTCTTGGATTATTTTAATAGCTTTGTAACTAGTTTCCCTGTCACCTATCTATCTCTCCTCAAACTGATTTAATTTTAGTGAGTTACAATGTGTCAGTTTCTGGTGTACAGCATAATGTCCCAGTCATGCATATATATATTTGTTTTCATATTCTTTTCTGTTAAAGGTTACTACAAGATATTGAATATAGTTCTCTGTGGTGTACAGAAGAACTTTGTTTTTTATCTGTTTTTATATATAGTGATTATCATTTGCAAATCTAAAACTCCCAAATTTATCCCTTCCCAGACCCTTTCCCCCAGTAATCATAAGATTATTTACTATGTCTGCGAGTCTGTTTCTGTTTTGTAGGTGACTTCATTAGTGTCCTCTTCAGAAGTACTTTTGATAACCAGTATTTCACAAGAGTTACGAGGTGGTTAGGGACTAAAAAAGTTAGATGTTGCACAAGTTAAACATGGAACTTCTTTAGGATATTTCTCCATGATAAATGCTTGATCATTTTGCACAGCATGATGAATTTTCATCTTAATCTTGGCATTTGGAATGCTTATTTCTAGACGTGAGATCCAGTTTTGCATTATAATTCCTATCCTGTGAAGCAGTATGATGCATACAACATGAAAATTGTTGCTTTTGGATAAAAATACAGAACTTCTTGATCTCCTTAGATAGTTAAACTTTTATTTATATAGAAATATAAAATATGTCAGGTAAATGATGGATGATAGTAATAAATAGCACTCAGAAGCCATGGTATAGTCCTTTTGTAGGTTAAGCATTCATTTTCATAAAATATAAGGCATTTATAAAAACATAAGAAAAACTCCAAAGCCCCAGCAGAAAAATGAGGAAAACATATAGACCATCACCACAGCAACAAAAACTTAATCCAACAAACAGAAGAGAAAACAAGAAATAAGATAAATAAAAAACCACAATACAATAAAGAAGAAATCTAAAATGACAGCAATAAGTCCAAACATATAATAATCTATTTAGACAAAAACAAAATATGACTATTTCTAAGAGAGAGAAAAAAAGTAACGAATGAACGGATAAATTCAGAAAAGCTGAAAATAAAGAGATGAAGAAAGAAACAACATAAATAGGCTAAAAAAGAGAACAGAGCAATATTAGTTTAAACAAATTGAAGTCAAGGCAAAAAAGGAACAACCCATAGCTTGCTAATGGTAAGAAAAAGTTAAAATTTTAATCTCTGAACATTATAATACATCTGAATCAATAAAGTGTTCTAGGTTGTGGTTTTTCATTAGTTATAATTCTGTAATTCCCTTTTTTCTGGATATGCTCTGGTATAGTTCAAATAAAATGACAGTGTTATGTAGACATGACAAAACATTTATGAAAATGGCATGAAATTTGGGTTATTTTAGTGAAGGCTAAGAATTTTTTATACTTTTTTCAACTGAATTCCTAGATATTCATGATACTGAATATGTCTAATATTCACTGTATAAGCAGTGAGATTTAAAGTAATTGTGCAGTTTTTCTAAAAATTTATTCCTTAACCTGCTGTTCATGAGTGAAGTAGTAACAAAATGCAAGAAGAAAGCAAAAGGTAACTATTAAGTTATAGAATTTTGTTAAGAGTGGGTGCAATGACAAGAGAATTCTGTTCTCCTTATTTTTATCTCCTAGTAGAATAAGAGCATTACAGAAGTAACTGAGATAACCCAGCTTATGAAGATAAGATGAAGCGGGAATTTTTGTTCTTTTTTAGGAAGGAAATTGTTTTAATCATGAGTCCTCATAGATAAAAAGTTACTTTGTGAACCTCCGGTTAAATCTTGTGTTTTGAGCCATAAATTTACTTATGGTGACATGTGGGCGAATTCTTAAAAATTTTTTTTTGGTCTGAAATACAATGCACAAGCATTGTTGTATTTTCAACTCCAGAGGTTTGGTTTTGTTTTTGGTTTTTGGTTTTTTTTACAATTTCTTTTTATTGGTATTCTTTATTTGGTGAGACATTGTTCTGATACTTTTCTGTAGTTCTTTAGACATGGTTTTAGTTCTTTGAACACATTTATTCTGTGTGTGGATCATACTTTTTCTTGTTTCTTTGTATGTCTCATCATTTTGGGTTGAAAACTGAACTTTTAAAATAGTATAAAATGGCAAGTCTAGAAATTAGAGCCTCCCTTCCCAAGATTTATTGTTTTTGCTGGGGTTTGGGTTTTTTTTGTTTG